CACAACCTAGCAAGTCCACTCCTGGTCATACCCAAGGGAAATGTCAAGCACTCGTGACTGTTCACAGCAGCATCATTGACAGTAGCCAAACAACCCAAGTGTCCCTTGACTAAAGAAAGGTGAACAGAACATGGCCGGTCCACGCAATGGACACCGTTTGGCCTTGAAAAGGAATGAGGCGCTGGCCTTTGCTACCACGTGTAAACCTGGAGGACAGGTCCTCGGTGACACAAATAGGCCACAACAGGTAGGTCGCTACGTACATGAAGTGTCCAGATTGGACAAATCCATGGACACAGAAAGCTGGCTGGGGTGGCCAGGGCCCTGGGGGAGGCTCCTGGGGAAGTGGCTGCCACACTGCAGGAGGGTTATTGGGTGACAAAAGGGCTCAAAATGGACTGGGGGACAGCTGCACCACTGCGAGGACACTAAAACTGCTGAATGGCACATTTAGAGGTGAAAAGTGTGGAAGGTGGCCACCTCGGGAAGCTGTCACATTAGGGCCAAGGGCCTCTCAACTTGCACGGCTCTCCTGAGGCTCTGCGCGGGCCGGTTCCCTTGAAGGGGCAATGGGCTCCCCTGCTCTGTGCCTGGATCCCGGGCTTCAGCCACCTCTGCTGCGCCTCCTCTGAGCCCCCAGCTCCCGCAGCCCCTCCTCTGTGCAGGTGACAGGTGGGCTTTGGGAACCTAATAAGAACATCCCTGTCCTCACCCCAGAGTTCCAGAGTGAGAGAGAGACAGGGCCAGGCACAGGACAGCGTGGCGTGGGCTCTGGGACTGGAGAGTGCCGGGTGGGCAGGGCCTAGGTGCACCCATCTGCGGACTGGAGGAAGCAGGCGGCAAGGTGGTGCTGGGGACTGACGGAGGGAGGGAGGGAAGGCACTCGGCCTCTCTCAGCCTGGCTGGGAAGCTCACGCGGCTGGCGACCTGCTCCGTTTCTGCCTGCTGCCTGCTGCCAGCTGCTCCAGCTGCCCACATCTAGGGAGGAATCCGTGGCCCAACTCCCAGGGAAGTCCCACGCTCTGGGCAGTGGAGGGCTGCTGAGAGACCCTGCCCCAGCCCTGTCCACACCACCAGCACAACCGCCTCTCCCACAGCACGGCCAGCCGGCGGGATGAGCGCAGGGCTGAGTACGGGACAGAGGGAAGGCTGAGAGCGGCGTGGCCGGGTGGGGGTCCAGGTATGAATGGATGGATGGAAAGGTGGGTGGACAGATGGCCGGGGAGTGGGTGGGTATGAATAAACGATGTTGAGGGTCCCTTCCTGTTGTAGTTTGAAGTGAAGGTCCCCCAAAGGCTCATGTATGGAAGGCTTGGTCTCCAATAGAGCAATGTTCAGAGGCAGGAATCTGGGGGTGACTGGCTCACGAGGGCTGTAACCCCATGTGGATCAACCCACTGACAGCGATGGACTGCTGGGAAGTGGTGAAAACCAGCAGGAGGAGGGGTGTGGCTGAGCAGAGTGGGTCCTTAGGGCCATGCTTTGGGGGACTTTATCTTGTACCTGGCCCCTCCCCTTCTCCCCTGCTCTCTGCTGAGGCTGTCGTGAACTGAGTGGCTGTCCTCTGCCATGCCCTTCCACTATGATGTTTGCCTCAGGCCCAAAGCAACGGAGCTGGCTAACTATGGAGCAAAACCTCTGCACCTGGGAGCCAAAGAAGCCTTTCCTTCTCTAAGTGGTTTTCTCAAGTATTTTGTCATAGCAATGAAAAGTTGACCAATACACTTCATGTTCTAGAGACAGTGTGACTATTTCCTGAGTAGAGATTCTTGGTTAAAGTGGATAATGTGAACATATTTTTTCTCAGGGTGATTTCCTCAATGCCCTCTTTTCTCTGGATAACAGCTTTGGAATCTTTGGAATTAGAAGGCATAAGAAAGCTTTTTTTTTTTTTTTGCCTTGGCCTAGACTCATATGCCTTGAATTAATGATCACAAGAGCAGGAAGAGGCTTCACCACATTTGGTCCTTCTCTCAGGCAGGTGAGCCAATGGAGACACCAATGGGAACTGGGGGCCCTACTGGTCCAGGCCCTGGGTGTGCCTCTGCCGCAGACCAGCAGTGGCTGAGCCTTACCTCTCCCAGATGCTGTGCATCAGGTTGGTGTCCTGGTCGAACTGCACGGTGTAGCAGTCGTTTGCCATGGTCACCAGGCGCTTTTTCTGTGAGCTGCTATGTCTCCTCAGCTTGCTCTTAAACCGGAGCGTGGTGGCCATGGTGGTAGCCTCCTGGGCCTCTGTAGTGGGCATGACCCTGTAGTGCCGGTAACTGAGTCCCGGGATGACGCTCAGGATGAGCAGGTCGTAGGCAGAGGGGTCCTTCGTTGAGTTCTGGATCTGCAACCAGCAGGATGGAGTGGGGGTGGATTTCAGCGCAGGGAGGACACTCGGTCCACTGGTGACCCCTGGCTTGCATCCCTCCTGGACAGGGGGTGCTCACTGTCCACTGAGCCAGCAGTGTCCTTGTCTCCTGGATTGAGCTCTCCTTGTCCTCCCTTGTTTTGGCTGCACCCCC